AAAAATAAGTCGCGCTAATCAAAACTGGCACCGCGTAGATTAAGGGTAGGTCGCAAATTTTTTTTCCGGGGTAATCAAAACCGCGGTATTCAAAACCGTGCTAATCAAGGGATTGCTGTGAAGAGTTAAATTTGGGTCATTGTTGCACCTTTTATTTTGATGACTTGACTTATTAGAAAGCCACAGTGTCAACTGTCAAGCTCAAATAAAATGTCCATGTGATGGGTATGGGTTATTTTGGTTCATTTCCAGCCTCTCGCTGTCACTTGTCAAAGTAACAATATTATCCTAGATGAGTAATACCATATGGGTAACAATATTAAACTAAGTGTGGATGCCAATTTCAGGTCAAGGTGGCAAATAAAAATCCTTAAAGATGCCAATATCTCAAACTAAAAGGCTTTACAGTCCTTACTCCACTGCTCCACAGCTAGGCAAGTGGCTGGAGTGGTACGCTGGTCAGATTGCAGCATTGCGACTGCACTTGCTCAAATTCCACTGTGGTCACTTACACACACAGCACATGATGACATCTGACAATTTGACATCTATGTTGTATATGAATAATACTGACTTACAAATTTTATACAGGAACTGTCAAGTTGTCAACTGTGGAAGCCTGCCAAATGCCAATAATTTAATAATGAAATAATTCTGTTTTTGTGTCATTGTGTCACCATTGATCAAAGACTATTTTAGACTTATCATCATTCTGTGGTTTTAGGCACAAAATAAAATATTGCTGGAATCATTGAGCATTTTTCATCTAAACTACATTACATAAATGATTTTTAAATTTTTACTAGATTTTTGCCAACTGAATTAAGATCTTGTAAACACAAAATTTATTACTGATGCACTGCCAGTGTTGCAGGTATTGAGATCTTCTCTTTCTGTAACCTGATGTTCACAGCTCTTTAGCATAGCTACTGGCTACTGGCCCACTGCATCGTAGAGGCAAACCAGAGATTTTTTAGAATTAGTTTATTTTTTAATTTTATCATTTACTGAACTGTCTTGAGATGTAAACCAATATCTTGTGTATGATAATGTGAGTGCTACTACCATGCTATGCTATACTTCTAAACATTTACCATTGCCATCATTTTTGCATTTGTCAAAGAATCACAGACCTACAGTATACTCAATACCTACTCATAGTCTCATACCATGAAAAAATAACAATTTTTGGTGTAAGCACCAGAGAATGGCCTCCTTGAAGTTAGGTTTCAGTTATAAAGCCTAAATGCAGGTTGATGATATGCTTACTACTTTTTTTCACTCACTTTTGGCAATGTACAACAAAACAAGGCTGAGCAACTATATGAATGACTTGTGTTAAATTTTGAATATGATGAAAAATTAATCCAGGTACAGGCCATCCACATACAGCAGGGCATAAAATTTAACTTGTTAATTTACTCAACAAACTTCTCTTGTTGGGCCTTGGGGGTATATAACCATTGTTCCCCAGCCGGTTAGAGTGTAGGTGAATTCAACTGGATAATGATGGATCTACTGACGCTTTCAAGTTAAGAGCAGATCCTGCTCTTAACTTGATGGCTGTCCAGAAAACTTTAGAATACTGGTTTAAACCAATATTTGTAGGGTTTTGATTACATACACACATATGCAGGTCACCCGAGGGTGGGGTGACCTGCCTAGCAACAACTCGGAGACAGAGGACAATGAAGAGGGCGCATCAGCGTGACTGTGGGCTAAGAAGTCCTAAACTCATAAGGTCACATTACATTTTACATGCATAAATGTTTCAATCTTGCTAGAAACTTGTGTTCCAATTTTGTTTATAAGATATATTGTTTCGTTTATAGGGTGGTGACATATGGTAAGTGCTGTGGCAACACAAATGGCATTAACCTCAAATGTCATTCAGCAGAAAGCCAGAAAATACTTTCATATCAAATAGTTAACAAGTCATCAAAGAAGTAAATAAGTTATGAAAAACCAATTTAATGTTTTTTGTGTAAACTATTAAAAATTAGTTTTTTATTCCAGGTCAATTAGGTATATTTTTATACTCTTTAAATATGTGAAATGGGAGCTGTTCGCCCCAAGTCTTTTCTACTTGGTGGACTTGTCACTTCTTTTACATGGATTGTGATACTTTATCTATATCTTACCTCAATGCAGCAGGTGAGTTTCATCCATTTTTATATATTAAAATCAATATTCTTTGCAATGTTATATAATTGCCAAAATTTTTTACTTATACATGAACATGTTCAACTTTTGACACCAGAAGATAAGCTAATATGTTTTCATAATTCATATGGTACTCAATTAAGTTATTATTTTCTATCAATATCATCTGTCAATTAAATTTTTGTGGCTCTATGATGCTCTATAGGTACATATTATAGTATATAATGTTTACTATTCTAATAAGATGGAGTGTTTGTGTGTTCTTTAGGAAAGACATTATTTTAAGATTACTAAAGATTATCAAGATAATAAGAGCAGGTATGGCAACCAATCTCCAAGTGAGATATATATTAGAAATTCAAAGTAACATAATTTTTCTTGTGCTATTTAATTGAATAATTATATAAATTACACAAAAATATGTTATACATTGTTAACTTTCTATTGAAAGTAGAATCATCATTATTTTTAAAATAATATGGATTTATTCTATACCCAAGATGGTAACAAATTCTATTTTAATTCAGGATACAAAACTGCTCAATCCTGCATCCAGTGCAGCCAGCAGAGGAGTTGTGAAGAAGACAATGCAGAAGCCTTCATCATCATTTCCTTACCCTATCATTGATCCTGTCTTAGGCCCGGCTCTAGACACCAACATCGCTGTAGATGGTTATATCATCAATACTTCTAAACACAATGAACTCAAACTGAGTCCAGAAAAATTAGAATTCCGCAGAAAGCAGAAGGAGAAATATTTGAAGAAGAAACATTCTCTTCTGTATTCTCTTAATAGTCTTTCATCAGATAATCTTTTTCATAGTCAAAGAGATGACAGGGACAAGATAGGAAAATATCCTATGAGTTGGAATGCAAAGACTGCTTTGGAGTCTCTTAAAGATAGACTCAAGTCAAAACAGTTCAACCGGATTCCCGAGAATTCAGTCATGAGAACAGAAGCTGCTTCCATGCAGAGTGGTGGTATCGCAGATATTGGGATGGTGCACACTATTGAAGAGCAACAGGTTTGTATCTCATGATCTTTGAATTTGGAATTTTGGAAGCATTCAAATAAATTTGTTCTTGATTTTATGCACGAATGAAATAATTGTTTAAAAATGATCTGATACTTGTAAATATGTACCTAGGAATATTGTTTATATTGATCTTGCAATATTACCTTAATTCTTCATGTTATGTTGCTTGTATATTGATTGCAGAAAGCTAACACCTGAATTCTTTGGGATACATGAAGCTTCAGATTTTACTAGGTATCCCTTTATAACCTGAACAACCAATTTTATTGTTACAAGTAACAAACTCCTATATTTTATATTAAGTAATTATGTAACAGTAATGGAATCTGCATTTTTCGTCATCACATAACATCAGAGGGCGGATACAAGAAAACTGACATTTTTAAGTCTCAAGAATTTAAGAAATTGTTGTGTCAACAATGAGAATCCTTCAAAGAGAATTGTCATTCTCATTTTGTAGCTGTTTATTTTCATCCCATGAAATAACTTTGTAAAAAATATTATAGATACCTCAAATTGCTATGTAATGATGTCTATACATCTTATTCTACTACCGGTATTCACTTTATCAGTTCTCTAATATGTTCTTCTTTCCTTATTCTTTTGTAAGCGAAAAATATCTTAATATATTTTCAGATGAAAGAAAATGGCTACAGTTTACATGCCTTCAATACACTCATCTCCTCAAGGTTGCCTTCCAATCGCTCAATCCCAGACACCCGGCACAAGAGGTAAGGCACAGTAATTGTCCTCCTTAGAACTAAGTTTTAATTCTTGTTTGTCAAAGTCAATCCAGTAAATTTCACCTGATAAATGAGCAATTGTTATAGATGCAGTATTTTTAAATTTCGTTGTGACCAAAATGAAATGATTGTTGTCAATAAAACATTTTTTTGGGGGTATTCTATTCAACTGTGTAAATTTGTAGTGATCAGATGTACTTTATGCAAATAATTTCTTCTGCAATTGGCTCAATTTTTTTTTCAATGCTCTGATGTTTGTCAATATATTTTGTTTAGAATGTCTGCTGTAATAAATCTTTTTTATACAGCCTGTGTGGAGGTTTCTTAGGTTTTGTATATACAGAGCTGGGCAGTGCTACTTTAAAATGTAATGGCTGCTACTGCTACATGCTCTAAATGTAGCGTCGCTACCGCTACTGAAAATATAGCGGCCGCTACATGTAGCACGCTACTGCCCACCTCTGGTAACGACTAATACTTTGACACTAGTAGCAGGCTGAGGTTGACAAAATTACACCAAAATCTTTCATACAGTTTTATTCTGTAATTTATATTATGTACAGTATGTATCATGATGGTTTTTAAATAATATTTAATACTATTAAGTAAAATCTAAAGGCTTTATCTATAAATGTAGCAGTACATAGTGCTGTAGCGGCAAAACCATGTATTGCTACTTAAATATGTAGCAGGCGCTACTGATACAATTGCTTAAATGTAGCACCGCTACCACTACCGCTACTGAAAATGTAGCAGCCGCTACATGTAGCCCGCTACTGCCCACCTCTGTATATATATTAATTGGAAGAATATTAAGCATTAAATTGAAACTTTTCAGGTGCCACAATATCACATATCCTGACAAATTACCTGCTGCATCCATTGTAATCTGCTTCTTCAGAGAAGATTTATTGACCCTTCGGCGCACTGTAGAGTCTGTGCTGCTGCGCACTCCGTCAAACTTGCTGCATGAAATTATTCTTGTTGATGACACTGATGACAGTAAGTTGTTATTAGGCTCCTATTATGTATCCAAGGAAAAGGTCTGTTTTAGTGAAAATGCCAAGCTGACTCTATATCGAAATGTGGAATAATGTAAACATTTGTTTAAATTCAATAGTTGGGTTAAAATTGTGTATAATAAATTATTAAGCCCGCACAATTAAGAATTTCATCATTAAATTATGGCATGACTATTGGAACCGTCATGCCTATCATCCATAATAATCAAGATAGGAATTAGCAGCATTTTCTCACAAGTTTGCTCTGTTCTGAATTAGATTTTGATGGTCTAAATTTCGATTTTACCTCAGTCCTTGAGAACTCAATATTTGGCTAGTTGTTGTAACATAATATTTGGCTATACTAATGAAGATGGTCCTCAAGGGATTTAATCTTATCTAGGGACAGTCTTATTGGTTTACTTCACCAAAAAAATCTTTATCTTGATGAGTTCACAAATTTAAATGAGAAAATTCCGCCAATCTATTCAAATAAATTTGATTGCAGGTGCCTACCACTCGGAAGTATCAACAATGGTATCGGCTCTACGCGACGGTGCTGACAAGATATCTGTTGTGAAGCTGCTCAGCACAAGCAAGAGAGAAGGGCTCATTAGGGCACGTGTGATGGGTGCCCGTGCTGCTACAGGGCAGGTGTGTTGTAGTGGCTCATTAGGGCACGTGTGATGGGTGCCCGTGCTGCTACAGGGCAGGTGTGTAGTGGCTCATTAGGGCATGTGTGATGGGTGCCCGTGCTGCTACAGGGCAGGTGTGTTGTGGTGGTGACTCATTAGGGCACGTGTGATGAGTGCCCGTGCTGCTAGAGCGCAGGTGTGTTGTGGTAGGATTGTATATAAGATCAAATGGCTAGTGCCCACTTCTTTTATTATCGGCATAATAGTCTGAAGAAATGAGATAAGCTTGTTTGAGCCCCAGAAACTAGCTGCTGGCGTGTTGTCACTGAGCAGTCTGTGTGGTAATAGAATCACTTACCAGCAGTCGTACTTGTGTTTTCTATTCAACCACGTCACTTTCTAGGTCGATATGTTTAGGTGCTATAATTCTGAGAATTCATGTAGGTGTTTTTGTGAGCTATGGGCCGCTACGTGTGGATGATGTCTGTGTCCTAGAGAACGCTACGGTACTTCTTGAATTTGCTTAGATCACATTTTACAATTTTGGTTTTAATGTCTAACTACACTCACGCGGAGGTCAACTTCTCATTTGATATGATTCATTAAATATTATATGTAATATAATATCACATTGTTGAATATTTATTGCCTCTCTCAAGCCATGACATTTTTGTTTGTCAAGCAGGTGCTGGTGTTTCTGGACAGCCACGTTGAAGTGAACGTTGGCTGGCTGCCTCCTCTGCTGGCGGTGGTCGCTGAGAACCAAACCCAGGTTGCTATGCCCATCATCGACCTGATCTCTCCGGACACTTTCACAGTGAGTTAAAAGGTTACCAGAGCTTGGCGAGTTACCAAGTTACTGGTGCTTGGTGTTACCAAGTTACCAGAGCTTGGTGAGTTACCAAGATACTGGTGCTTGGTGAGTTACCAAGTTACTGGCGTATGGTGAGTTGCTAAGTTACCGGTACTTGGTGAGTTACCAAGTTACTGGCGCTTGTAATTTCTTTGTTACTCTAAGTGGGGAAGTTACTCTCAGAAATAAGTGAGATCTGTCCAAATGGCGATGAACTTTTTGAACTTCAGTGGGTCATCCTGACCCAGTTTAGCCTGGCAACAGGGCGTATCAGAGCTGCGTCCGCTCTGCGACAGGTTGAAGGTAAGAAATAAGAAAGTGTTTCCCTATTTGAACCACACAACCTTCTTATTTTAACGAGTTAAATTACCAAATGAATAAAAATAATGCATTTCTGCAATGACTATGCAGTATGCTTAAATATAGGTAATATTACCTCCATGTAGTACAAGTAGGCAATATACAACTATGTTTTTGTTCGTTGAAAAAGTATATTAATGTGATGCAGTCTTGTTTAACATGAACTATAATTTTTGAAAAATACTGTGCAGAAATTTTTCATATTGAAATACCCACAAAAGTATGATAATGACTGTGATAATGATATTCTGAGGCATTTGTGTGTTCTTGGGGTGTTGTGTAACTATTTTTTGAAGGTTTTTCTTTTCAGAGTATAATAAAATGAAATGATCTCATGAATGAAACTTGAATACATTGCTCCCATTCTCCTTGAAATATCCTAAAAGTTTTAAATTCTTGGTGATAGTTCTACCATAATTGCAGTACCGTGAGTCCCCCCTGGTGCGCGGTGGGTTCAACTGGGGACTGCACTTCAAGTGGGACAGCATCCCCATGGAGCACTTTGCTGACAAGAACAACTTTGCCAGACCTGTCATGTTGGTGGCTTAATATTGCCGTAGACCCGTCATGTTGGTGGCTTAATG